GCTGTAAGAAGAGTTGAAACTTTGTCGATGGACCAAAACTCCTCTTTGTTCATATCAGTGTAAAATTTATTTGGAAAGGTACTTGGCAGCGGCTGCACCTCCGCCTTGTTGCGTCGACATAGATATCCTCGCCTCTTTTGCGCTTTCCTTCTCGTTGCTGCTATTTTCTAACCGTGGTTTGCTGCTTGAAATTCTGCTAATCATTCAGTGGACTGGGGCCGTTAGTGTAAAAAAATTATTCTTCTGTATATTCCTGTTGTTCACTCGCGGATATAGAGGTGCTGGTAGGGTAGGTCGGGTTATCTGCTAATTTATCGTATTAATCTCTTTAGCAAGTGAGCGACAAATTAGGTGAAATTACGGTTGGGAGTACTAGATGGTAAATTTTTTAAAGTTTAAGTATGATTTGTGACTTTTTTTGCCTTCAAATTTTTTTATTCTAATTGTTATACATTCTTTTTGAAATAGAACGTTGGAATTTAAACACTAGCCTACCGTAACTTGTTGGAATTGACAGCGGAACGCTAGCGGACAAAACGCGGAACATTTTGTACTCTATTTGGTGCCCACCAACAAAAAAATATTTTTACTTAGAACTGTTGTCATATGTCATGTATATTAAATTCAGTGGTGAACGCATTTTTTGAGCTGCTTAAAGGAACGCCTGAAAGTGAGGGAAAAGAAACTTCAAATTAGAAAAACAGTCGAGGATTGTGCTTAGTCCTAAAAGAGAACTATAGGTTTAATTTCAACCCGTAGTTTTATTCACAAAGTGCCGCTCACCGCCTAGTGAAACTGGCGCCATAAAACAGTGAACTTTCTGAGCTCACTTAACATCGCTTCTGTATTTGTGAAGGAATTGCAAGTACATATGAGGGAGCTTCTAAAGTTGCTTCAACTATCGTCAAGAAAAAAACATTATTTGTTTACAAATTGTTGCATAATTTTGCAGAATATTGCCTTTTTTGCAGGCAAAAATATAAAGTAAAGCAGAAACAGCACGTAGTACAGAGAACCCAGAAAAAAAAAATACAGAAAAAAAACAGGATTAAAGAAAAAACTTCAAGTTTAACTCTCTTCATAGAATTTGTACGGAGAATGGCGAATGCTGGGATTTATCCACTCCAGGCGTTTTTCGCTATAGCAAACTGTAGTATTGATTTGCGGATAAAGACGAGTGTATATATGTATATTAGGGGAGAAATTGGCATATCTCGAAGGTACCGTACTAGCATACATTTTTTCTTATGGGTTGGCATTTCTGTTTTGAGACAGTTTCTTTAGTAGGCTATAGAGGGTCGCTATATGCTTAGAAATATTTTTCAGAGTAAAATTAACTTGGTATTTTTATGATCTAGCCGTCACCTGTAGAATATGTAGTTTTTACCAACGTTTCAATGATTAGGAGCAGGAGAACACTTTTGAGAGCTTTTTAAATGCTGTGCTTTGGGCCGCTTGGCTGTAGAAAACAGGTAAAAGTTAGGCGCCTCTAAAGATGTTTAGGCGGATGCTGGTTTTTTTTGAAAATATTTAGAAGGTGTATCAAATTTGCAAATTTGGATTGGTTTTCTCATATTTTAAACGAGGTTTGGGATGTTGACTATAGGAGTTTGGCGTATGGCCTGTAATAACTTATATTTTTTACTCTTTTAGATGTCTCACTTCTACTGTATAATTTTAGCTTACATATCGACGGGTCAAATAATGGGTTGGGGAAATAAAGCAATTGAAATTCGTTCGGTTGAAACAGGTCACTTAGATGGAGTTTTCATGCATAAGAAGGCTCAGAAACTGAAGTTTTTATGCGAACGTAATGATAAGGTCTAGTTGTTTTTGATTTTTTGAAGCTTGCTTTTTTCTATTTTAATAAATATGTTCGCTCTACAATTTTTGTTTCAAATTAAATGCTCTATTAAATTTTTTTCTCTTCCTTACATATGATCTATTATTTAGGTGTTTTTTTCAAGCGCAAAAGGTGGAGGAGCGTGCCAGATTTACTTTATGACTTTGAATAGACCAGGCCTGTCAAACTGGTGACGTATTCAGAAATGGCTGGAGTGCATTTTAAAGTTTATGTCATCGGTCTCTCTGAATTGGTCACTTGCGTCTTTTTGCTTCGTTTAATGTTTGCTGTTTACTTCATGATTTTCAAAACAGAAATGTTTCTGAACATTGTGCTCCCTAATGCGTTCAATTTTTAATTCAGCAAGGTATTTAATGCGTTTCCATAGGCAGGTGCTACAGGGTAATTATGTTATTTTACTTTAAT